AATATCATTTGAATTATAAATTTAGAAATAAATTATTTAATTTTATATCAATATAGACAAAACACAACACCATATCAATAATAAAATTCAAGCAAATATATCATATGACTCCCCCGAAGTCATCTATCAAACAAAAATTTTAAAATTCTCCACCAACTCATATGATCAACTATCTGAAATAAATACACATCTCTCCCTCTTTTTTTCACGAATACGGAATAACAAAGAAAAGGCAAGCTGATTTTCAATTTTATCATCATGAACAATTATTTGCTTACTTATACATGCATAGTTCATAAACAAGTAATTTTTTCCTACATAACTTACTTTAAACCTAGTGAAGTAAATTGTATAAGCCATTTGTGTGAAAGTGTCATTTAAGCAAGTCTCAAAACCTTAAATCAATGAAAATGTTCGTGCAAAGAATCACTGGTAAATGAATATATTATTCAAAGTATAAAGTCAAACCTAGTGTTACTAAGACCTTAACAAATTAAAAAAACTCATATTTAATTGTATAAATTTTTCTTTCTTTCCCTATTTATGAGCACATATATATGTAAATTTTTCTTTTATTTTTTCAAATCTTACGTGCGGACTTTTCCTCATTAAGCTTTCTACATGATCATTGTAACGCGTTTTAGGTCAATGACTCCAAAGTCAGATGACGTATAGGACACCAGGCATTAAGATATCGTGTATGCTTAATCACTCAAGTCATATAGATTATGAAGAAAAGTATAAGATTGCCTCACAACATTTTATGTAATTAAAATTTTTTTTTTAAAACTCAATGGCAATCTTATTTTTAAAGGAAATATACAAGATTGCCTCAGATGACTTATATGACACCAGCATTAAGATATCTTGTAGGCTTAATTACTCAAGTCTTATAGATTATGAAGAAGAGTATAAGATTGCCTCACAACATTTTATGTAATTCAAAAATTTCCTTTAAAACTCAATAGCAATCTTATTTTTAAAGGGAATATACAAGAGCTTAGATCAACCAATTTAAAGGTCATTCCATAATTAAAGTCAATTAACCACACAGATGATCGCAATCCTAAATCTCAAACACGCGATTAAAATCCACTCACAAGAGTCTAATGTGTGCAGTGCATGAGATACATGTAATAACCTATACCAAGTACTACAAACAAGCTCTAAACAAATTAATGAAAATTTAGTTTACCAATTATGAACATAACCAGTACTTGATAGCAAAATAACATGTTCAAAAAAGAAATTCTTTTTCCCTTTTTTTATTTTTTATTTTCATCATTTTTTTATAATAAAGAATAAAGTAAAAGGAAACTCCTAATATACAATGAAAATACGTGCATGCATGATTATATAAAAATCATGAATAATGCAGATGTATGTACCAAAGTACCTACTCATTGAGGTACACCATCGCTCTTACATTCAAGAGTACCGTGATCAGATTTATAATCTCTCAGATCACTCTTCTTAACCCAAACTTTTCTAGAAGCGGAATTAATTATAGTCAATTCTGTCATCAGCTCGGTCAAGTGACTAACCTTATCAGTAGGAAAGGAAGTCCAGCTAGATATATTCTGACTTCTATTTCTATTCAAAAGTTTCTCATCATAATTGAACACGTAAGGATAAACCTAGATCCAAATCTATGTGGTTGTTGATATTGATTTCTGGGCTGGTTATTAGGCTTTTGACCAAGATACCCTTGTTCTTAGGTTCATAATTTGCAATACCCTTAGGCTGGTTGGTTGTAAGGATAAATGTTGTCTTGAAAGTACTGGTAATATTATGTTTAGTCTGTTTATATCCTAGACCTCCCTTATTATCAAAGACTTGTTCTATCCTAAAATATTGTCAAGTTTTTGAGATCCACTTAAGAAGGAATGAAGTTGGGCATTGGATTTTCCAAGATCGCTTGTTAGGGTTTTAACATCAATCTCTAAATCCTCATTGACTAGTTTTAACTTACTAAGGTTTTCAGTAGACTCTTGAAGGTCAAATATGAGTCTCTCTGGCTCCATCTTATGCAATTTCTTAAAAGCAGCACTATTTCACTTTTTCCAACTTCAGGCAATCCTGAAACAGCTCATCAAAGGCCTCACATATGTCTCGCTTATCTTCCGACCCTTCTTGTAAACGATCGGATTTCTCTTTATCCTCAAGTGACTTATTCTTAACTACAACTATGAATGCCATATATTTCTCAGTCTCATCATGAGAGGACTTCTCACTCTGATTATTTGAGCTAGACTCGTCATCAGTAAAAGTAGTATTCATAGCTTTGCATAAGTCTCTCTTCAGGTTAGGACGTTCAGATTTCACATAACCAAATACTCACGTTTATTTTTCTTAGGTATACTAGATTCACCCTTATATCTCTCAAAAAATCTTTTATTCTTAAGGAATTTCTTAAATTTCTTAACAAGGTAGGCAAGATCCTCATCCTTAATTTTTTCATCATCTCTCAGTTTTTCTAACTGTATTAAGGGCTATGGATTCGTCTTTCTTAGACTGAGGTAGGCTAACTTTATATATTTGTAGATATCCACAAGTTCTTCAATTTAATTGCATCTAGGTCATTACTCTCTTTAATTGCAGTCACCTTAGATCTAAATTTTTCACGTAGGGATCTCATCACTTTTCTCACAATCTTAACCTCTGAAATTCGGCCACTTAAATTAAAATTAGAGTTGACCATATCATTCAATTTAGCATAGAAATTATCAAAAGACTCATCATTTCTCATCTTAATTTCCTTAAATCTAGTAGTCAACATTTTTAATTTAGAGTTCTTAACGGCTATGGTTCTCTCATGTGTAGTCTTAAGAATATTCCAAACTTCTTTCGCAGTCTCACACATCGGCACATGCCTGAACTCTTCAGGTGATACATCCATAAATAGAGCATGAAGCCCTATTCCAATTTTATCTATCTAAATCATTCTTATACCAAGTGAAAATATTAGTAGGGGTAATTACACCTACAACTATGGTAGATGGGGCGGTCAAACCATTCTAAACACTCACCCAATCCATTTATCCATAGACTTAAGGAAAGATCTCATTCTAACATTCCAATAAGCATAATTACTACCATCAAAATAAGGAGGAATAGACAATGACTGACTCATCTACACAATTAGAGACAAGATTGCAAATAAGGTCTGATACCACTTGAAAGTTTTAAATTATCGAATATTTAGACCCAATGTGTAGAATTACACAATTAAAAGCAAAAAGTCACTTTTTGATTGTTTTTAGATTATTAGATCAAACAAATCAATTCATCCTAAATTTGAATACCACAATCAATATTTAAAATAATAAAGAACACTAAATATGATTACGGATAAACCCCAATTGAGTAAAAAATCTGGGTACTTTGCAAGTCAATAATCCACGATAAATCGAAATAAACTTACAGTACAATCCACACCCTTCTATCTCGTAGAACTTCTGACATCAATTTTTGCAATCTCCCTTGATCTTGCTGGAGGTGTTCTCCTTCAAAACAAATCCTAACTCCTGGTTTATACCTTAGCCCTTCTGGACTTCGTGTTTATCCAAATCTCGACTCTTGGTCCCTTACCTTAGCCCTCCTGAATTATGCTCTGCAGCAGCTCCCGATCCCTGGTATCGATTTACCTCTGGTAGATTAAATGAAGAACTCTTCATTCTTCGGGTTGGTGTTTGATCAAACGATTTTTGTGTGTTTTGATCTTGAAGGCTGATGAAAGAAATACTAGAATATGTTTTTGACTTTCAAAGAACAAAATCTTGACTTACAACAATGCTTTACTAATTGGAACAAAATATAGGTTGAATATGAACAAATAATGTGGTTGAATCAAGGAATCAATGAAAAGATGTTTAGATCTTCAAAGAATGATCTTTATAATCAAAATATTGTTCAACACACTTTTGGACGTCCTATATGATGTATATTTATAATGGGTAATGTTTGGGATGAAAAGAGATTGAAAAACCAAGTGTTTGAATGAAAATAGATTTTTGAACGTCGAACCATCGCTCAAGTACCAAGAGCAACATACGAGTGGCAGTTGAGTAATTATCAGTATTTTTATCAAAACTTTCTCTCTCGATGTTGGATCGAGATTATTCAAAATGCGTTGAAAATATAACACAATGGGCTACAATTCTTATAAGTAGCCTTGTCTAAATTTTAACGTTTTCTATGTAAAAAATGTGTTGCAAGTTGCATTGAAAATTTGGAGTATAGTGCGACATTTTGACACTCTTTAAACTTCTAATTGCATTCCAATGATCATATGTGATCTTTTTGAACATGTTGGACTTTTTCAAGGACTGTACAATCAACCCAACTCTTTTGACTTTAATTAGGATTCAATAACTCATTTTTTAACTTAAATTACAATTCCATAAACTCCTAATATAATTTAACTAGGACTTAATTTTGATTAAGGAAATTGTCAATTATAATTTGGAATCAACACATGATAATCAAATTTAGGAGCATCGCCAAGATACCTCCATTAATGAAAGAGTAACTTGTGCAAACTAGAGATTAATTTTTACATTTAAAAGGTAAAACTACAATAATATTCTCTATTTTGACTATTTATTTTACATTTTTCAAAAAATATTTATTGATTTATCATCATCTTTTATTTAATAATTTTTGTGTATGTTAATGACCAACCAATTCAAATATGTTTTAAATAATGTAAGAAGTACAACATTAAAATATGTAACTTATTAAATGCAATCATTATAAAGTAATAATAAAGAGTGTTTAACTCTCCAAATTTGAAGAACAAAACACACTTTTTATTTTAAAAAGTTAAAACAAAGAATCTCTTGAAATTTATTTTTAAGCATTGACTCTTGATAATTGTAAATATTACATATATCTCGGTCATCGAAAGTGATCCTAGTGACTGACTATTTGACCTATTGGATGAGAACGGATGAAATTGAACAATAATTGATTAAAAATGATTAAAGTTGGATATATTCTTGAAGTTGTAGACCAAGAGTCACATTTGAAAGTTGAAGGAATTCAATTACAATATCTAAAGACCTAGCCGAGAGAGAGAGAGAGAGAGANAGCTGCAATGGTGAGACGGCGACGATTTCCGTTTGAGAGACGGTGCTGAGAGAGAATGGAGAAGAGAACAACGAGAGAGAGAGAGGGAGAGAGAGAGAGAGAGAGAGAGAGAGAGAGAGAGAGAGAGAACGATTTTCAGTGATTTGGGATATCTTAATTTGACTAGAATTATGATTTTCTACCATCTAGTGACTCTAGTCTTAAATTCAAGTCTATAAAGAGAAATATTTTCGTTCAATTAAAAGGGAAGCTTGAAGGGACATATTCCCGAGATAAATTAAATAGATAAGATTAAAAGTTCTCAAGATTTGCGGCCCAAAATTGGAATTTGAAGGTCGATATTTATCAATTGGTTGGAAGATTTACAAATCCAAGAAGAGTTCGAAAATTCATTATTGAGAATTGGGTGTCGAAGTACAATAATTGATTGGCTTCTTTTATTTCTTTATTGTAATGAACTTGACAAATTTGTAATCTTTTTATTGTTTTATTCCACAATTATGAATTGATAAATAATTAGTTGTTAAGATAAACTATGTAACTTATGTGTTTAACATTTATTTATTTCCAAAGACTTCATGTAACTTGATCTTGTGCTGATTATTTATTTTATTCAATTACATGATAATCAATTGATTTACTTATGGATAATATTGACATCGAAAGGTGATGTATTAATCTAACTCGTGCAATAAGTGATTGTGTTACAATAGATCGAGAAATAATTATAGGCTAAGCAATTTTTGTATAATACCTATTGGTTAATCTTGGTAGTAAATTCGGGTATATGAGTGGAGTTAGTTTCATTGAAAGATATCACTAGCTATAATTAATTAATTCAATTGTTTACAAATATGAAAAGGGTTGACTGATGTTAAATCGAATGAATGTTAATTGACCTAGTTGAATTCGGGATTCCTGACCACTTGATCCCATAAGTTTTCTCAATTCTCCAAATTTAGATTAATTTAAATTAGTTTACTAATTTAGTTATAACTTAAACATTTGATTTGATGATTTGTTACCACATTAATTTAGATTTAATTACAATTGAAATAAAAATTGATAGTAAATACTTACTCTATGTGGGATGATATTCAGATTTAAACATACACTTTATTATTTGTCACGATTCGTAAACTTGTGAAGTCGTGCTACCAACTCACTAAAATAGAGATAATTTTGTATTTAGTTCTATTGAATACGCTCTAAACACATTTTGGTAAAAATAGATTACTTTCAACGTTTAGAGATACACTTTCAAACTTGATGAACTTGTGAATTCTTTTAGAAATCAGATGTTATTAGTTAAATAAGTTAACGTTACAATAACATATAATTTATGGTCACAATTTTGTATTAGTCACAAATACAGTCACAAAGACATGTAATGTGGGTCACAATTACAAATTCAGTAACAAATTGCACACTTTTTATATGTCACAACTTATTTATTAGTCATAAATTATCAAATTAATTGGTCACAACTTATTTATCGTTAATAAATTATCAAATTAATTGATCACAACTTCTTTATCGATTACAAATTATCAAATTAATTTATCATAATCCCCACCCAAGATGCAGATTTGTATATCCACTACACCTCGACTGCGTAGATTCACAACCCACCACCACACAAATAATAGCACACCATACCAACACCATTGCACCACAACCTAAGAGAAGCAAAAACGATGTCTAAACAACAATCGACACCATTGCACCACAACCTAAACACCATCACACCACAATCCAAACATGCAGCTCCCAAACAACAACGTGCACCACAACTTGAGAGAAGTAAAGGCAACACACAAGCAGTACCACAACCGCACCACCACAGCACAACCCAAACATTGCCGTACCACAACCCAAATAGATGGCTCCCAAAATAGCAAAGGCAACGTCCAAACACACCTGGGAGAAGTAGAGACGACATTGATTCCAATAGGAAAGAAACAAAGAAACTCTCAAGCTCGAAGGAAATGCAAATGGGAGAAGGGGGCGGTGGGTGTTGACGGTGTAAATCAGGGAAACGAGGTAGTTTTGGAATGAATCAAAGGAGAAAGAGAACATATAAGAATATGGTTGCGAGAAAGATAGAGAGACAATGGACGTTAGGTAGACAGTGGGTGACAATGTTATGGATTTAGGGGACGGGGGTGGAAATGGGGTTGGGGTTAGGTTATGGTTATGGTTTCTGCAGGTGGGATGGGTATAGAACGAGGTAGCGGTTAATGATGGTGGAAGTGGTGGTGGCTATCGATGGTGGTGGTAGGTAGGGCTGTAAATGGATCGGATATGGATCGGATCTGCCTATATTCGATCCGATCCGATCCGACAATCCAACGGATATTTGATTATTAAATCCATATCCGATTTGTTACCGGATATCCGATCCGATAATCTTATCCGAAATTAATAAAAATTAGGAAAAAAATTAATGTTCTTTAAAAAATTTTGAACTAACTTGAGGCCCACATTTTTTTACTAGCAAATCCAATAGTGACTTGTACCATCATGATATTCTTTTTTAAAGGAAAGATTATCTTCTAGTTTTCTATTAATATTTGGTGTAGGATAAAGTAAAATTGAATTTCA